TATGCTAATTGCTGCGTTTCCATTCTTTTTCAATTTAATCAAGACAATAATTTAAAAGATCGATTTAAAAAAAGATTTAATCTTAATTCCGTTGGACCAGTCGCGAATAAAAGAGACAACTCAAGAAATTTAATAATATTCAACATCTATAAATTAAAACTGGAAAGAAATAACATGTTATTTTCGAGATATAACGATGAGATTTGTTTAAAAATTTTAATTCTTCCCATCTGTAAATCTTCTACGAGTATTATTTTAATTATTTTCGTCAATAAATGGAGAGTAATTTTTTATTTAGTTTTATAAATGTTACGTTTCTATAATTCAAACGAATTTCAAAATTTTAATAAAATTTTTATTAGACGCGTTTTATTATCAAAATATTTAATGCTAAGATTTAGAAGAAAATAAAAAGCAACCTAAAAAGTTTCTTGAATTTTCAATAAAAAAATTCTTATTCTCACAAATTTCTTATTTATCTTTCTCAACGGAATCGGTAGTGTTTTCATAAATGACGTAAACGAAAGTAAACTCCATATAAAAGTCATGAAATTATGAACACACCTTGGCACGTCATGATGAACTCAAAGGGACGTAAATTGTTACGCGTAATGAATGCACTCGCTATTCTCTGCTTCCCGTGCGAGAGATTATTTGTTAGAATTAATGACAGCTAGTTCACTATAGTCATTTCGCCCCTTTTTCTCCCGTTCTTTTCCCCCATGGTCCATAAATTCCAAGCAACATGCTCCTCGCGGTCGAGTCGCATCGCGAATTTTTCTAGTCACTAAAACTACCGTTAATTATCGTTATTCATTGCCCGGGTATTGCACCTCCTCCCGTGTTTCCCCCCAACAGGTGGTCTACTCTCCGACCGATCGAACGCCGATCGTGACATTTGTACGCCGATCGACGATCCACTTCGTTCGTGACGCGGAGGCTCAATCATCATCCGTCCGTGATCCCCGTCGGTTCTTGGCATCGCGGTCGCGTCGGCTCCTTCAGTCTCTTTCCTTCTCTCTTTTCCTTCTGTCAATCTTTCTGCGCTCGGTGCGTGTGCCTCTCGCTTTCGCACTGGATCACCTTGGTCCACGGGCCAGCGCGCCACCCTCCCCCCCTCCCCCCACCTCCCCCCGGCCCTCTCCTCCTTTTGCCCTAACTACTGCCTACACGATCGAATCTCGCATAAAACTGACGGTAAATGCAACCGCGGGACCGAAACCTCTGCAACGGGATAGAAACTCGAGTTATACAGATATCGTGCAGTGCACAAATTCTCCAAGAACATCGTATTTCTCGCGCAGTTACACTGAGAGAAAAATATTTTGTATTTGTGACTATAATTGGCATGGTAAAAAAAATTATGGTCCGAAGCACTATTTTTATAGTTATTATTATAATGTTAGTATATAATCTTATATAGTCCTATCAAATATGAAAAAAATTTTACTATAAATTATAATAATTTCAAAGATTAATACAGTAAAATATCAAGATATATATGAGACAAATGAAATAAATATTTTCATGTAGTAAATGCAACTGCAATTACAGTAAGTCTAATTTTTTTTTTAACATTTGCTATTTATATTGTAATAATAACGAAAAAATAATAATATCCACACAATCATAATGTATAACCATAATGCATTGTTGAAGCAGCTATAATTTGCATGGTTAAATTAATTCTAATTTTATAGTTGTCCTCGAAATTCACTATAAATTATAGTTAAATTATAATTATTCCAACTATATATAGTATACAGTTATATATCTGTAATAATATCCAATCATAATGTATAACCATAATGCATTATTAAAGCAGCTATAATTCGCATGGTTAAATTAATTCTAATTTTATAGATGTCCTCGAAATTCACTATAAATTATAGTTAAATTATGATTATTCCAACTATATAGTTATATTTTTCTCTCGCAGTTAAAGAGAATAAAATAATATGCAATACATTTATATGTGCATAAAAGATTTCCTGTCATTTAGGTACAAATGTCTCTAGACAGATAAATGAATTTACTCTGAAAAAAATAAGTAAGAACACAAATATAATGGTATAGTTCAAAGTACACACGGCAATATGGAATATAATGTGTGTGAACTACACATAAAAAAGCTGTAGATTTAACGAGATAGTATTAATAGATAGGAATAACAAGAATATAATTTAATTCTAATTTTATAGTTGTCCTCAAAATTCACCATAAATTATAGTTAAATTATGGTTTTTCCAACTATATAGTTATATCTTTCTCTCGCAGTTACAGAGAATAAAATAATATGCAATACATTTATATATGTGCATGAAAGATTTCCTGTCATTTAGGTGCAAATGTCTCTAGACAGATAAATGAATTTACTCTGAAAAAAATAAGTGCAAGAACAAATGGTATAGTTCAAAGTACACACGGCAATACGGAATATAATGTGTGTGAACTACACATAAAAAAGCTGTAGATTTAATGAGATAGTATTAATAGATAGGAATAAAACAAGAATATAGGAAGGAAGACCGAGTTTTCCTTCGCGTTTCCTGTTTCATTATTTAAAGTCATTACTCTGACTAAAATATTTAATTAGTTGAATCAAACGCTAATAATAAGGCATCGCCATTTTATGAAATGAAATATTCTGAAGAAAGACAGAGAGAGATTATTGTTAAATATATAACTTAGCAAAAGTTTTCCTTTGATCAAGCTAATTGTCGAGTACGTCGCTATTTGAATTAAACGACGTATACGTGTTGAAGCGCGACGAGACGCGAGTGTGATATAAAGTGTGCGAAATTCGATCAAGATAAAGATTAGAGCTGTGCGAATAAAAATCGTGAAACGATGCAAGGAGTGCGAGTAATTAGGGAAAAGCTGGTATACAATTTACATCAAAATGAAATTATCGAACGAAGAAATTCGCATTTCTTCCGGAAACTTCGTTCTGCCTCTCGCGCTCGGCACGAGAGTTCATTTCCTTTTAATCTCTCGCACGGGAAGCAGAAAATAGCGAGTGTGCGCTCATTATGCGTTACAATTTATGTCCTTTTGACATATAGAGAGTTGCGATCACATGCCGAGATGTACGTGTCCATAATTTCGTTGCGATTCTTACATGGCGTTTACTTTCGTTTACGCCGTTTATGAAAACACTACCGATTCCGTTAACAAAGATAAGATAAATAATAAGAAGTTTATGAAAATAAGAAATTTTTTAGATTGCCACTAATTTCTACTTCTAACATCGTAACATTAAATACTTTGATAATAAAACGTCTATCGAAAATTTTATTAAAATAAATTTTGAAATTCACTTAAATTATAGAAACGTATAACATTTATAAAACTAAACCAAATTATTTTTTCCATTTATTGACGAAAATAATTAAAATAATACTCGTAGAAGATTTAAAGATGGGAAGAATTAAATTTTTTTGAATAAATTTCATCCTTGTATCTCGAAAGTAACATATTATTTGTTTCTAGCTTGGGTCGTTAATAACTCAATTAATTATCTCCCTGATTAATCGCTTTCATTGTCTCTGAATTTTCAATTAATTAATCGCACCCGCAATTAGGGCTTCCATGAAATTTTCATCGATGAAGGATCGGCTGGAAATTCATCGGGGAATCTATAATCGGGGAGAAAGTGCGCGACTTCCGACGCGCTTCGTGCGCACTCCATGTTGCAGCTCGCGGTGCGGCACAACGCGGAGGAGCAGGCGGTTAAAAGAACGAGCAACGCTCCCACGAGCCGTGGCCGCGGCTCGCAGCTCTTCGTCTCTCGGCGTCATTGACCATCGTGATCCCTGTTTAGTCACTCCCGGCCTATGGCTGTCGCTCACTTCGGGGCTCCTTCCTCCTTTTCCTCGTCCTCGTGCCATTCGTTCGCGCCCTCTCCCTCGTTCTGTTTCTTTCTCTTTCTCGTTCACGCAAGTTCGCTTCGACGCGACTAGCGCGTGAGACCTCGATAAATGTCACTTTCGCAAAATTCGAACGCCATTCGATTCCCAGAGCAGGAGATTTATTTCGGAAATTATTTTTAGCAAGACTTTTACGACCGATTGTTAAACAAGCGTCGAGCTTTCTTTAAGAATTTAAAGAATTTAACTATACTAATATATTAGTATATACTATACTAATACTATACTAAGAGTGACTATACTAATACTATACTAATTGTAAGAAAATATATATTAGTATATACTATACTTATACTATACTAATTGTAAGAAAATATATATTAGTATATACTATACTTATACTATACTAATTGTAAGAAAATATATATTAGTATATACTATACTTATACTATACTAATTGTAAGAAAATATATATTAGTATATACTATACAAATACTTACTAAAAGTAACTAACATATTAGTATAGTTACTTTTAGTATATACTAATATATATTTTCTAACATGTTAGTATAGTTACTTTTAGTAAGTATAGTTTAGTTTAGTATATAATATACTAATATAGATTTTCTTACAATTAGTATAATATATACTATAGTATTAATATAGTTATATACTATACTAATACTAACTTACAATTAGTATAGTATATACTGTACTGTACTGTACTAATTGTAAAAAAAAATATATACGCAATAGTTCTGTCCTATTATATATAATAATAGAACATTATATATAGTATACATATTGCGTATACATATTTTAGGATAAAGTATGCTAATAATTTTGCAACATTCTGTTGTCAAAATTCAGATCTTTCTCGTTACAAATGTAAAACACTATTATATTCATTATTCAACGTCACATATGTGTATAAAGAACATTTTTAATGATTTGAGTTGACGATTGTGTCTCAATCGGAGGATCGAATCGGAGGAAATGGAGAAGGGAATTCCGTTTCTCTCGGCGAGCCACGTATTTTTAGGCGAACACTCTTCACCGAAGTAGAAAGGGCCGTGCCGAGTCCGCCGGAAAAACAAAACGATTTCGCCGGCCGCTGCCAGCGAACGTTTCAGCTGTCTCCCGTTCGCTTGTATTTCACAGACCGAAGATTTAAGCCGTTCCAGTCGCGACCATTCCGTCTGAGCTGCATCAGCAGTTAACAGCGTCTTCGCAATTTTTGAGATCGTTGCGATCTCAAGCTATGTGACATTTCAATTTCCATTAAGATTTCAGTGTTTGATAAAATATGAAATAAGTCCATAATACGTACATAATATGAAAGTTAATTATATTCAGAAAAAAATTCATCAATTTTTATCGTACCGTTTTGAAGATATTTAATTCTAAATGTATAACATTTTGCATTACAAGTATATGCATTAACTTTATTTCGTAGGTATTTTTTGTTAATTTGAAACATTTGCATATAAGACAAAAATTTAAAAATTGTTATACTTGCAAAGTAAACATTTCAGTTCGTTTTGATAAAGTTTTATCTGAATTGATCGTATAATTTGAGAGAAATTTATATTCTTTAATAACGAAAAACAAGAATATTTAACAAATAGATAAGATATATATGTGCAACATCAAACAATATATATTTTGATGCAATAATAAAAATACGACAAATTTATGATAAAAAATATTAATTTATACATTTTTTATTTAGATTATATTTTATTCATCATTTTTTAAGATATAATAGTAAATAAATGTCATATTCATATTTCATTTCCTGCTATTGATATTTAAGTCAAATGAGAGTCTTATAACTTTTATTTTGTCGTTTCAAAAATATTTACTAACATATAAAATTAATAATTATGTATAACTGACATTAGTGAAATATCAATTGTTGATAATGTTTTAATATTATTATTTTAATCATTTTACACAATTTTAAGAGTAAACTGTTTATTGACTAGAAAGTAGCACTGAAACGTTAAAGTTCGACAATAGATTACGAAACGGTAAACTAGAGACGCTCAATTCCCGGGAAAAAAAGTTCCGTATATAATTATATATAATTATATACAAAATACGTTCATATGTTTCTTTCTTTTGTAAAATTACTCTTTAATACAAAATTGATAATAATAAGAAGGAAACACAAAAAATAATTAAAAGAATAATTTTTACATTGGTTTTTTTTACAAAAAATCAATTTGAAGAAATGAGAAAAATTGTTCATATATAATTATATATGTATATTTTTAATCATTTATATATGATTATGTATGAGCAATTTTTCTCGTTTCTTCAAATATTGTTTTTTCTAAAAAAAAAAATTGTTAAAATTATTCTTTTAATTATTTTTGATGTTTCCTTCCTATCAATTATCAATTTTATTATCAATCAATTTTGTATTAAAGAATAATTATTATCAATTTTATATTAAAGAATAATTATTATCAATTTTGTATTAAAGAATAATTTTACAAAGGAAAGAAACATATATGGACATATTTTGCATATAATTATATATAATTATATATGGAACTTTTTTCCCCGGGTTGTTATATAATTCTACACCAAGTAATATAGTTTTAAATGTAATAATTTTTACATATTTATATGTATATATTTTCAGTGATAGGTACACATGTAAGCATTATGTTCCTATAATCAGAAAGCGAATCATGAAAATTGCGGTCTTGACTCATCATCAACGTATTGATCGAGTTTCGGGTGACAAAGAGATCGTTTGCACCGTACAGTTACAGTCTTCGGGGACTGATTAATTTCGTCTATGGCATTAAACGCACCCCCATGGGCGCATCCTCTCCCCATCACCCCATACAAAATAAGACCATGACTCACTCTCATTTCGATCGCGCCAATATCCGGCCGGCAATGCCGGAAGGGAAGCCACATTTGCGATCGCGTATAGCAAACGATATTGCTTCGCATTTTCGCAATTGCGAAATATTCAGGAAAAACTCGTTTGCATCAAGGCCGCAAAAGTGACGAGTAGTTACTTTAATAGAGACTTGACGGAGAGACAAAGACGAGGAGTAAGAATAATTATTGCAGGATTACTTCGCAAATCGATTTGTTAAGATATTCTCCAGTTTCTAATTTCTCCTCTAAATTTCTTCTCTGCCAATTTCAACTTTTGTCGAAATATTATCACATATTCGATGTACAATTAAATTGCATGTTTAAGACCCTGTCTTCGAGAAGAGATTCAGACTTGCCTCTCTCTTTATCGTCGTTTCTCCCCTTCACGTTTCAGAATACGGTGTTCTTTGTTTCCGGCAGTACCGATTCCGTGCGTGAAAAAAAAAGGAGAGCAGAAAGGAGGTAGAAGGACGAGCGTAGGCGCGTAGGAAGACAATGGATCCTCCGAGACGTCGGAGACGGGCGCTTCGCTATTCAAGGCTTGGCCTCGCGAACGCGACGTGACGGAAAACGCAAGGATAAGACGTTAGAGATTCTGCGTGCTCCGCGAAAAGAATTTTTTCCAATGACGAAACGATGAGAGGCATTACATACATATCGTACAACTCATTGATTGAGTGAAGAAGATATAAAAATCACGTGGCCGAGATGCGGTTCCGAGAAAATTGTGCAAGCACGCGTCATTTATTAATGGACTATGGCGTCACTTATTAATGGAATATCGATTTAAATCGTATCTCTCTCTGAATCTTTCGAAACTACTTTACAAGATTTCATCGTAGAAGCACTTACAAAGGAACCTCGCGAACTGTTAAATTCTGATTTTAATGAAACTTGGTACACTTTTAGGTTACATATATAAATAGATGAATTTAGAAAATATCAGTTGGTGCTAAAAAACGATATAAAGGGGTGAAACCTTATCCCTTATATGTGTAAATCAATTTTCAGTATTTTTCGTTACACATCTCGAAAACTATTCAAGATATCGAAAAATGTTTTATGCAAAAGTTTTACAGTAAAATTATCTCTATTCATTTGCGTCAATAATATTTTTCTAAATAATTATTTTATAAAAAAAATTTCAAAAATAATTATTTAAAAAAAATATTATTAACGCAAATGAATAGAGATAATTTTACTGTAAAATTTTTGTATGAAACATTTTTCGATATCTCGAATAATTTTCGGGATATATATAACGACAAAAAAAATTAATTTACATATAAAAGGGGTGATTTCATCCCTTTTAAACCGTTTTTTAGCACCAACTGATAATTTCTAAATACATCTATTTATGTGACCTCAAAGTGTACCAAGTTTCGTTAAAATCAGAATTTAACACTTTCCCTTGATAGATCCCTTGTTAGAATTAAAGGCATGAATATTGTTCCTAATTTGATAATGCATTATGGGAATTTGTATGCAATACCTTAATGTCTTGCACACAGAAAAAAAGATCACTTTAGATTTAGTATTCCTATATTTATTTGACTAATATTTTTGTTTCATTAAAACAACATATGCTTATAAGAAATATTATTTGTTTTAATAAAAATGTTTCGTTCAAAAAACTTCTATTACTTGACGGAAATAATACTATTAGTTGAAGTAATATCTTTCAACCAAATCACATGTATTATTTGATTACAATAAATACGAACAATAAAACAAATAATTTATTTATATGAAAATAGCAAAATATTTTAATATGCGTTGTTCTATGCAATTTATTTAAGACGAAGATATACATTGTTTCAAATTCAAACAATCGTATTTATTGATTCAAACATTGACTTGTTGGACCATTCCAAATAACGAATTTGTTTGAACACAATAAAATTAATTAAATCCAAAGAAATCGCGCGTTTTCTCTGTGCATGTAAATGTACATATTTTTAATAAGATTTTACGAGATAAGTACTTTATTCATATACTGAAATATGCTGCAATGATGTTTTTTTTTTCTAATCCGACGTATGTTATTAAATAGAATTTATATCCGTAAAAATGTGAAGTAATATAAAGTGACATAATTGCATATCTTTTAAGAAAAAAAATAGTTAAATTAGCGTGGGCACACGTATGAAACTATATCGTAATCATCGAGCGGCGTATTTCCTCAATTTCATTCAGGAACACGTTTATAAATACATCGCACGCGTGTATACCGATCGATTCAAACGTTGCGCGACGAAGGGTCGAGGATGCGACGCAAATAAAATGTCGCATTTTTTTTTCCTCTTTTATACTGCACGAACGACCCTGTGTAAGGTCTCTCCGGGGTGAGTTTCTTGAAGGTCAAGGAGGCTACCGAACGATCGATCGTTGTTGCGGATGGACAAAGGCGAGGTATCTCAATAAATTAACGGTATAGGAATAATGCTAGCTAATAATAATACGCGGCTGAATTTTATCTCTGCAACCGCGCAACCTTTCGCGAAAGGGCATTCATTATTGCGGGGTCGATGAATCTAGCTGCAACTCGCTGGTGACACTCGATAAAAATGATTGCCCGCGTCGCAGTTTGTTTTTCTAAAGCGCCTGCACGTGCTTCAGATACTTGAAGAAAATAAAAATAATCTCGCTCATCCGAAGCAACTTTCTGAAGCAAACGCATTCGAGAATGTCAGAGAATGAATTTCGTTGCAATTAATTGCGTTTGCGATTAATGTACGCGTAAATCAAATTATTAATTTAATGTTATCTACATTCAGGGCTGGGCATATTTCAAATGTATTTGAAATACAATTTGTATTTTGCATTTCAGCGGAGCACATAAAAGTATTTTGTATTTTGTATTTTAAAAAAGTTATTCAATGTATTTTGTATTTCAAATACAATTTCAATTTATTTTGTATTTGAAATACCAAAGACATTACTGATAAAAATTCTTGACAACAATTAATAGTAACTTAAATTTTTCTCATATGCGACAATTAGCGACACTAATTATTTTCGTCAAGTTTCAAGCAATATCAAGTAATCAGAGTAAAATTTCATAATCTCACATTAGTAAATAGATTTTTCGTGCGGTTAATACAGAACAATAGGACTGTTAAAGAATGTAAGAGTAAAACAACTTTTCTTTCTCTCTCTAAAAGTGCAGAGGGGACTGTTGGAGGGGGGAGTTTAACATTATATATTATTGTAATTGAACGGTTAAATTAAAAAGTATTTCAAATCGAAAGATTGAAGTATTTTATATTTTGTAATTCAAATACTAAAATTTCCAGTATTTTGTATTTTGTATTTTAAATACTTTAATGATGTATTTTTCCCAGCCCTGTCTACA